GGCAAATCTTGTAAAACAATTCTGTCCATTTTGAAGTATAATGGTCAAACAATTTTCAAAGAAAGGTCAAGGGGAGATTGGCATTACCAGGGGAACCTGTGCCAATCCCCCCACAAAAAAAATTTAAGAAACACCATTCAATGGGGACAAAACAAGGGCCCTCCATTATATGGGACATCAAGTGCGATATGGGAAAAACACCAAATCTTCAATTTACATGCTGGCGAGATGCCATTAAGCTGTATGAATTATTACAGAACAGTATGATTCTCCATAACAGCAACATGTTATTATAGCACCATATAATTTGTGTTTTACATATTTTTTCATTTTACAGAAGAAAGAAGCAAAATCATTCACAAACAGTGGCAAAACATAACTTGCACAGTTTTATAGCTTATGATCTTTAATTACAGCAGTTCCACACTGTATTGACCTCAAAGTTTACTTTAAAAAAAAAAACACTTCCAAACCACAAACACGCATTCCAGAGATGAGATAGATGCTATGAATAACTAAAAATTACAGAGCCATATTTCAGAAACAATAGCCAAACATATAACACAGTGGCTAGACAGTATGTAAGCAGTTTGTTTGAGCAGCAATATAAGAGGGGGAGACAAGGCAGGTTTTACTGTGAATAAAAATTAGAGTGTATTATGTCAAAAACAACCAGGCATATAGCATGGAAATTCTGCACATCATGTAAGTGGTTTCACTAGGTTGTATTTCAAGAGGGAGAAACACGGCAGTTTTATCAAGAAATAAAAATGACTGTGTATTATTTTAGAGAAAATTGCTAGAAAAATAGAACAGACACACTGCACACTATGAAAGCCTTTTTAGCAGGCTGCATTTAAAAAGCAAAAGCAAGAGACATGGCATTTTTATTTAAGGAAATAACAATTAAAGCGAATTATGTCATAAACAAGAACTGGAAATATTGCTCAGACATGCGCACATGCATACTGCATATCATTGAAACTTTTTTACTAGGCCACAATGTAATATGAAGAGGTAGATTTTATTATGAAAAAAATATAGTATATTATGTCAGCATAGTGGCTGGAGAGTTTTTAAGCAGTTTGACTGGGCAGCAATATAAGAGGGAGAGACAAGGCAGGATTTAGTTTGCAAAAAAATATATATATATAGCACAGACATGCTGCACATCATGTAGGCTGTTTACATTTGCCACATTTGAAACGCAAGAGACAGAGTATTTTTAACAATAATAATATTTACAGTGGATTATATCAGAGACAAATCCAGAAATATTGCACAGACATGCAGACAGGCCCACTGCACATTGTAGAAGCCTTTTTACTAGGCCACTATGTAAGAGGGAGAGACAAGACAGGTTTTATTATAAAAAAAATACAGCATATTTTGTCAGAGATGCAATCCAGAAATAGAATATAGGCATTCTGCACATTATGTAAGCTTTTTTGTAGGTCGCATTTGAAAAGTGAGAGGTGAGGTATTTTTTATGATCAAGAACAAAATTTAAAATTGATTAAGTTAGAGATAAGAGCCACAACTGTTTCACAGACACTCTGCATATCATGTAAGCCTTTTTAGCAGGTCTCACTTTAAGAAGTTGAGATGAGGTAAGTTTTAACAGAAATAAAAATTACAATGTATTATGTCAGAGCCAAGAGTGAGAAAAATAGCATATACATGCTGCATGTCCTATCGGTCTTTTTAGTAGACCATATTTGAAGAGAGAAAGAGATGAGGCACTCTTTATCAAGAAATACAAATTATACTATGTCAGAGACAGGAGACTGGACTAGACATGCTGCACAATATGTAAAACCTTTTTAGTAGGCCACATTTGAAGAGGGAGAGATATGGCAGTTTTATCAATAATTTAAACTTAAAGTAGATTATGTAAGAGACAAGAGCTAGAAATTGCACAGAAACGATGCACATCATATATGCATTTTTAGTAAGCTGCTTTTGAAGAGAGAGAAACTAAGCACTTTTTATTAAGATATAAAATTACAGTGAACTATCTCAGAGACTAAAGCCAGGAATATTGCACAGGCACACTGCACATCATGTAAGCCTTTTTAGTAGGCTACATTTGAAGAGGTAGAAACAAGGCACTTATATTCAAGAAATAAAAGTGTAGTAGGTTCAACACAAGAGCCCGAAATATAGCACAGGCACATTGTACATCTTGTAAGCCTTTTTAATAGGCCACATTTAAAGAGAGGGATAAGGTGGGTTTTAATATGGAATAAAAATTACAGTGCATCATATCAAAGACAAGAACCGGAATCTAACACAGACAGGCTGCACACCACATAAGACTTATCAGGGAGAAGGAAGAGGGAGAACCAAGGCATTGTTTACTAAGAAATAGAAAATGACACAGTATTATGTCAGAGACAAAAGCCAGAAATATAGCACATACATGCTGTACATTGCTTATGCCTTTTTAGGAGGCCATACATGTCTTTTCATGAATGTGGAACCCAAATGACTGTCAGATTTACCACATTTGATATGCTGCAGGTATAGGCTGCAGACCACTTCAGTGCTGTCTGCAGCAGAGGTGTAATAAAGGCCTTAGTCTGCATAACTCTGCTTAGTAGACTTAGGGATACCAGTGGCCTGTACAACTGGAGCAGTGCCATCTAGTGGAAAACAGTGGCTCTGCAAGCTGCCCCTGGATGACATCATCAGTGATGTTGTATCTCTTCCTCACTTTCCTTCTCCATAATCTCAGCACTCAGGTTTGGTTTGCCACCTCATGATCTCTACCCTCCTCATCACTGTACCCTAATAAACTGCAGTAACACCACTGGCAACTGGCAATTGCATTTCTTTGTCTGTTGTCCCCTCCATATGTGGTCTGGGTGCTCTCTTTCTCAACACAAGATTAAACTAATTCCTGCTCATCCTTCTGCAGCACATTTTTGATGATGTGCTCAATAAATTCAGCTGAAAATGCCAATTTGCGTGGCAATAAGGGATTATCTGTAAAGAAAAGAGGCACGAGAGGGTGCATTTGCAGTAGCTATGATGCCTGCACCTGGGAGAAAGAGGAGGAGGAGGATGATTAAAGCTTGGTTATATATTTCACCACCCCCCTTGTGTGCTCTGGCTATATAGCTTGCATACAGCCAGAAAGAAAAAGTAAATATGACTTGCCTCTAAAAGTGTGGCATGACCACTGCTTTGGCCTGCAGATCCAGAACCTTCTTGCTGACTACTAGCTACATGTAAAGAGCCTCTGCCTCTCCCTTTAGGCTTCATAGACATGATGAAAACAGGGGATTGACTATTTTTGTTAGCAGCTATGGCAATCCGGAGATTGAGGATGTGGTTATTTGGTGCAATGAAGCATCTAAACAGCAACAGAAATTGTTTCTGACACACACACAATCACAATCTTAAAAAGGATTGTTTGGCCAATCCACTGTGAATACAGTGGGTGGTATACACTGCATTGCAGTTTACATTGCAAGGGCAGTAAAGAGCAATGTGAATACAGGAGGTACACTCCACTCTTTGTAGTACACTACTCTACACTATAATGTAGCAGTGACAATATACAGAAATGTATAGCTCTTTAGGTAGCACTGTAGTGTATAGCAGCAGTAACTATCTTGCAGTTCACAGTTTATGCAATGCATTATGGGGGATTCAATTTTAGTGCAGCGGTGAACAAACCCATACATTCAGCATTCAGGTGAACTGTGAACAAGCAATGTTTGGGTTGAACTCTGCATTGATCTGCACTTGAATCTCATCCCTAGTCAGCCTAAGGAGCAAGGTAAATCTCCTCAAAGGAAACTCGGAAACAGTAAGACATGACAGAAGTTCTAACCCTTCCCCTCTCTTTCCAAAGCTCAAAAACAGGTTTTGAACATAAGAATTATTGTCATGCAATGGTCCTCTACCCTTGCTATTACCCTTTATTATCTGTTATATACTGTGTGTGTGTATATATATATATATATATATATAATTATACAGGATTTATATAGTGCCAACAGTTTGCGCAGCGCTTTACAATATAAGGGAGACAGTACAATTACAATACATTTCAGTACAGAAGGAATAGGAGGGTCCTGCTTGTGGAGCTATATATAATTTTTTCCCCCACTATCTGTGCTTTGTACAAATATATACAGTACAAAAAAAGTTAAAAAACTAAAAAGTTATAAATAGCCCAACCAAACCCACAATAGTTTCCCTGTAGAAAAAGTTTACAAAACAACAAGCCTCCGTAGAACTGCACTAGAAAATAAACAACTGACTTACTAGATTCATAACAGCTAGCACTCCATGGAGACAATACTTTCTACAATCTCCTGGCTCCCTTTCCATAAAAATTAGCTTTGCAGCTCCATTGTCACTTTGTCAGGGAAAACAGGTATAATTACAGCTGTGCATATAATTACACACTTTTTCTCTAACAAATCAACCAGTTCTATGCTGATTTTCTAGGGAAGGTAAACAATCTGAGCTAATTTCATGTTTGCAAGACAAAGCAATTGGGAACATGTGTGCAAATTTGTGCAAAAATTTGAAACTTTCACCTGTCTTCCCAAGCAGCTGTTATATCAGGTGAAGACATAAATCATAAAGCTTTTGGCAGCAACATGATAGTAAATAACAAAGAAAACAATGCAGAACTTTTTTTCTTATGATAAATTTGCTTCCCAGATAGTATACTGCACTGATTAATGAGAACAGTGGACTAATGACTAAAAATGGCCAACCCAGCTAATTATGTCTCCCAAAGCTGTTTGCTTGAAAAAACAACAGGTATCTTAGAACACTGAATTTACACATCTCCATATTCTTAAACTTTAATAAGAAAAATAATGGTCTTAAAATGTTGGGTTTGAAACTGTAATTAATAAACTCATCCCTATCCTCTGTCTTGTCTTAATTCAAATACAAAATTTAACCTGGAAAGGATATAACAAACAGCTACATCTGTTGAACTTTTAAGGTTCTTTATGCATAACATAAATCTC